AGCGCCCTCTGCATGGTTAACTAGGAGGGGGGGGGGGGGGGGGCTCAACGAAAGAGGTCTCTGGGGGCATGATAGGATCTCTAGGGAGAACAGTTTAGAACTGATAGAGTTACCCCATAGAAATAAAATCAGTTCAGTTTAGTTTACCGCTGTAGTAGTAACACTGGGCTAAATACGAGATGACTCTTCTAGATCTCTAGGGAGAACAGTTTAGAACTTAGAGTTGTCCCATATAAATAAAATCATGATCAGTTTAGTTTAGTTTAGTTTAGCTTAGCTTTCCTCCTGTAGTATAGTAACACTGGATCAATACGAGATGACTCTTCTAGATTTCTAGGGAGAACAGTTTAGAACTGATGGAGTTAAAGTGAGTTGAGTTGAGTTTAGTTTAGTTTGGTTTGGTTTGGTTTAGTTTAGTTTGACTTTCCTCCTGTAGTAAGATTGGACAAATCGAAGGACAAATGAAGAGCTGACTCTCACTGGTCCTCTAGCTAGGGAGGACATTATAGACATTTAATGTAAAGGTACCGTTGTATTAAAATTATATTTCCTCAATTCTTTAGGATGACTGTCATGAACGTCATCCTCCTGTTGGTTATTTTGCACTCTTGTTGTTGTGTTGATAATTTCGATACTGAGAAATGCAAGGATCGCTTTGGAGCAAGCCTTGATGGTAGGAAATAAATATTGTGATATAAACTCGAACCGGGTCCGTTCCAGTGTAGGTAGTGATAACGGGGAAGATCGGCTCAATGACGCAGTCTGAATTTCAGCTCAAGAATGAGCGCTAAACAATTTGATTGCGCGGTAATAAATGTTTGAAGCTTTTTCAAATAATCGTACAAACGGCTAAGTTCGGCTAAAGCGATGCAACGTTTGCTGTGGACTAGACTTCAAGTCCGCGCAAAATCAAAATGTGGATCGAGGACTTGAAATATATTTGAAATAACATCTCATGCGAATAAATCATGCACTACTTAAAGTGAGGTGAATTAATTTTGATCCAGTCCAAGGATTGCATTAATTATGATCTCCTAGGACTAGATCAATATACTTCACCAGGTATCCAGTGTTATCATGTGAGCAAAATAAAGCAATACGGTTGGCTAATTTACTCATGAATTATTAATGAGTTTGAGATAGACGTGATAATGCTTAGTTTAACGTTGTGCTGAGCATGACAACGCCGTTGAGAAATGAATATCCCTGAGACCATAAATTATTCACAGTTTTTGTCTTGCATGACAAATTTCTTTGTTTCGAAAGCGTTGAGCCGGCCGCGTCGTAGATCGTAAACTCTCTAATAACACCAGAAACTGTTGCGCATTGACTGGAATACCGACTACCTGAAAAATACAAGCCAACGACTAGCTTCACGAGGGAGTGCCTTCGCTCGGATCGTCGAAGTTTTATTTTTCAGGTAGTCGAATTCCTCTTAATCGTTTCTCTCAACTGACAAACTCTTGAAACTAATATTGAATACTTTATATTGCCAACTAAGGGGCTGTTTATATGGTCCCGCTTACCCGGGATTCAACGAAGTGTGACGTATTTTGAGCAATTGAAATAAGTCGCAGTTCATGATCTAACAAAATTTCTTGTTACAAATTGTATGAAATTCCATGTTTTAGACAAATAAAACAAATGTTGTTGAATGTTATTAATCGTCTTCTTCCAACATAACTACATCATAACTACATCGTCTTCTTCCAACATAACTACATAATGTCGTTGAATGTTATTAATCGTCTTCTTCTACATAACTTCTAGCGCGTTCCTAATTTCGTTTAAACAATATTTAAAGTTATGTAACTTTTGTATAGGGCTGAAACACGTATTTCAATTACTCAATTTGAATCCCGGGTAAGCGGGACCATATAAACATCCCCTAAAAAGTGATCACATCACTGTTGCACGAGGTTTAACAATATCTAATCTTTATTCAGAAAATTTTGCACTGTTCAAACCAACATGGCAGACAAGTACAAAAGGCGACGCAGTTGCGTCCCGTGCCGTGGATGGCAACACTAACCCTTACTTCGGTAACTTGAGTTGTTCTCAAACAGACCCCGCAAATGATTTGGTCTGGCAGGTACTGAATATTATTGGTTTTTAATGTGACCAACTTTATAGGGACTTCGGTGGCGTATAGTGCATGGACCGCCCCTCCCCCCTCCCATCGCAAGGATCGTGTTGAGATAACCCTAGTCTCGACTTTCCTAGAGAGGTCTGATGAATATCGTGTTGTAAAAGAACAATTAGCCATTTCCCAATCGAGCAGAGGACTGTCTCTAGTTTGGAGGGACAACAAGTTATAGTGAGTGAGCTAAATATATATTAAATATGCTTTATTATAATTGTTGCGTTTCAGGATGCACAAATAACTTTAGGAATGTAGGAAAACTTCCTAGATGCCATATTCGGCATATTGTTTATTTTTTGTCCCTCCAAACAAGCGACTAGACCCAGTCCTCTGCTCGAATTACACGAATATGCCACGGTCAAGCCACAGAGTAAATACCATACAGAGGTCTCACTTCTTATTAATTTCAGCGTAAGGAATTTTTCCAGTCCGCCATGTTCTTAGCAAGTGCCCTAAAGAGAGGCTGCATCCCCCTGGAAACATATTAGAATTTAATGTCCCAGGGGGTGAATGCCTCTCTTTAGGCCACTTGCTAAAAAGAACATGGCCTCCATATATGCGCAGTAAGAACTACCTTACGTGTTCTCGCGAAGTGAGACCTCTGTATGGCTAGTACTTTGTGGTCAAGCCGAGCTCACTGTGCCACAGAATAAGAAGGTACAGCAGAAGTGTAACTCAAGCAAGTATTTGTCCGCGTTTTTACAAGCGATTCGTCATCAATCACGCCATCTGGCTAGTACAACCGGCACTTTGTATCTACCAAAACCTGATAAAAACTTCCGGTTGTACTAGCCAGGATGGCGTGAGCGAGTTAAAATTTTCGTGGACGTAAAACAATAAGGAAAACGAGTAGAGTTACGCTTCTGCTATAGCTTCTTATTCTTGTGACTGTGCTTTGAAAATCACGTAGGCACGCCGTTAATTATAACTGTGACCCTGCGATACTGACCTGTGGGGGGGGGGAGTTCGCCCGTAAACATGGGCGTACCGGAAGGAAAAAATTAGGGGGGCGGAAAGAAAATTGCCCGACTTTTCGTAAAATTGCCCGACTTTTCGTGATTTTGCCCGACTAGTACCAAAAAATTTTTCCCGGAAAATTTTTTTTGGCGACCTCCCCCCCCGTCGCCAAAAAAATTTCGGTCAGTGTACCATTTTAGGGGTCAAAAAAATTTTCCGGACGTACCAAATTTTTCGCAGAATCACATTAGTTTTCCCAAAAAATACATTTGCCCCAAAATTGACTAAATTTTTGAAAAAAATTACAGAGTTTGTCCGATTTTTTTTTATTACAACCCAAAATTGCCCGACTATTAATCGAATATTGCCCGACTGCCCAAAAAACTGGGGGGGCGGCCGCCCCCCCCCGCCCCCCCGCCCGGTACGCCTATGCCCGTAACCCACAGAAATCCCACCTACGGCATGCACTAACCACAATATTACAAACAACCGTTTTAGGTTGACCTTCAGGAAGACATATACGTGACCTCTGTAACCATAACAACCAGAGCTGACCAATACTGGTCAAGTTCGGATTCCTATCATGTTTATGGCTTACTTGTTAATGGTGGCAGTTTGCAGGAATGGAAGTGTGCTGAGGGTTTTTTTCCTAATACCGGAGAAACCAAATCAGTGACGTGTCACATGCCCAAGAAGAGCAACAAAGTACGTATCCAGCTTCTCAAACCGGAAGGAATACTTTCACTTTGTGAAGTCGAAGTTCATGGAAGGAAATTTGATTATTATGAATACGAAGGTATGATGATTTTGATAATTACGTCATGAGTACTTACTTAGGAACCTCGCTTTCATAAATCAAGACGCAAGGCAATTAGCCCTTCTCACGATGACGAATATCCGCCATTTTTGGGTGGCATCTAATTCTCGTTAACCAATGCAGACAACAATTAAAACGATGTGAAAAGCAATTTTTCAGAACAAACTAGCCATTTACAGAGCAAATTTACCATCATTCGCCCAAAAAATTATAAAAAGTCGCTGTTATGTGGACTTATCTGCAGACTGCGGCTGAAAAGCCACCCAAAAATGGCGGCGCGAGAAAGACTATTTATGCTCACGATTTATGTGAGAATGAAGCCCGCGGGTGAACGAATGACTGACAATATCCGTGCTGCCAACAAAATGACACGTTCTACGTTGGGGGTACTGGGAGAATTGAAATATCAGCATATCGTTCGCAATCATGATAAACTCCATTGAATATTTATTCATATAAATACTCAATAAAGTTTCCTTGATAGACAGCGGGTAAATGCATGTTTTCCAAGGATCTCGTCATATAGAGCGTTTGCGCTCATTCCCCAGGGAGCAACTCAACAGAAGTCATGGTGTTCCAGACAAAAGAGTCTAATTAAAATTCTTTTGAATTGGAACAACATGGCGACTGTGGCGGGTTAGGGTTAGGGTTGAGGTTAGGGTTAGGGTTAGGGGTTAGAGTAGGGGTAGGGTTTGGGTTAGTTACATAGCCATTTAACACCTCTTCCATCTTCCGAAAATGAAGTCAGGTCAAGTTTGCTGGATGGAAAATAGTGCTAACCTGGCCCAGACGGGATAAAATGCTCTCTGAACCAATACAATACAATGTGCGTAGGTAGTGACAATGATACTAGAAAGCTGTGGATTTTGAGGGATTTAACTGCCTGGAAAATACAAAACCACCTAACTTCCCAACAAAGAGCCTGCGCTCGAAACATCGCAGTTGTATATTTCAGGTAGTTGAATGGACCATTCCCCAATTAACCAAAATTTTGATCTCAATAAGTCTAGACAAAAATTCCACCACAGCTTGAAAGAGCATTACAAAATTAGTAATATTCCAAAGTTTCCTTGCAAAATGTTGTAAAATGCGGATAATATAGCCTTGCGAAGTTTGCAATTTTCAGTCATTTTAGATTACAAACGGGAAACGGTTACCACTTCTGTGCGTAATACAAAATGACTGAAACTTACAAACTTCGCAAGGTTATATTATCCGCATTTTACAACATTTTGCAACGAAACTTTGGAATATTACTAATTTTGTGATGCTCTTTCAAGCTGTGATGAAATTTTTGTTTAGGCTAGTTAAGATTAAAATTTTGGAAAAGTGGTAACCATTTCCCGTTTGTAATCTAAAATGATTGAAAATTGCAAATTTCGCAAGGCTATATTATCCGCATTTTACAACATTTCTCAACGAAACTTTGGAATATTACCAATTTTGTGATGCTCTTTCATGCTATGATGGAATTTTGTCCAGACTTGTTGAGATCAACATTTTGGTTAATTGGGGATTGGTTCATTCCTCTCAAGCTTTCTGAACCAATACCTACTTGTATTGTGTAGTCTCTAACTTTATTCTATCTTGATTTTTTTGTTTCAGTGAATTATGCATTACGACAAACTGGTAGGCAATCGACTGTATTCATCGAGGACAAGAATCCGTATCCGGCGATATTAGCATTAAATGGCGATCGTAATACCTACCTTTATGACAGTTCATGTATGCATACCAGCACCGCGTCATATCCTGCATATTGGAGCGTTGATTTGGGCAAGGTCATCACGGTCAACGCAGTCACGTTAACCAGTATGGATCTACCTCGTTATTTACCCAGAATTGCAGACTTTGATCTAAGGATTGGTTTCGCTGAAAAGAACGATGACGAGAATTACGAAAATTGTGTCGGACATATCTTAGGATTCGGAAGCGCTGAAACCCGTACGATATTCTGCAAAAACCCAACGCGTGGGCGTTATGTGACTATAGTATCTTTTGTCAATGATTTCTTTCATCTTTGCGAGGTATCTGTGCATGGAGACGAACTGGGTAAGTATTATTGGGTGATATCACAGATGCGATTAGCCCCTTACCGCCAAGTTAAGATTTTGTTTTATTTAAAACGTTATTTATAGTGACGCTAGCCCCTTCAGCAGAAGCTGGTTTCAATTGGGTGGGGTGGTGAGGGTTGGCATACATATAAAAACATTGACAATTATACAAAACATATAACTACAATAACAAATAAATAATTATTAAGATTGATGCAAAGTCGTGGTGTGACACAGCTAATCGAGAACTGGACGGATTATTGACTTTTAAACCATTTTAAAGGCATACATCGATGGAGCCTGTCTGACATCAGCCATTCCATAACTCAGAGCCGCTGTGTTTGCAATTTTTTTGAGAAATTCTTTTTTCGGCATTGGAAGTGAAAGAATTTATATTATTATATCTGCGATCTTTTGCTGTTTGCTGATATCACTTCTCGAAATAAACATTTGTTTCAAATTGGGGCGTTGGGGTTAAAGTTGATTTGGGCAGGTCACATCTTACATTATGAGGTTTGCAAGAGAGCAGATCAAGGACGTCAGCAGAAGCTCAGAAAAAGCGTGCTTCTGTAAGACGAGGTTAGATTATTACTAAGGTTGCATAAGTTCTCTGTACTTTATAATTAGCTCTGTGAATCAGCGTGATACTAGTATCGCGTGACATATAGTGCGATTGAAGCCACTCTAGTTACTGACTCAGATTCACTTCAAACGTGGGACTGTATTTTTTAAATATATTTATTCAGTACAAATATTTACACTTGTTTAGTGCACGTCGTTTCGCAATGAATGATGTTGCTTGGGAATTACCCAACACGTCTGGAAGTAGCCATTTAATATTTTTACTTTTCTAGAATGCATGGCACCAGAACCATTTGGTTTCGAAACTTTTAAGATTCAAGATTCACAATTTAATTCTTCGTCATTCCATGATTCAAAGCACGGGCCTGAAAATGCTCGGTTAAACTTTCGTGGTACTCAAAACCCACAACGTACTGCAGGGTGGGTTGCACAGAACAGTGATTCTGAACCATGGATCGAGATTGATCTATTGTGGATAGTTACAGTGACTGGCGTTTTAACTCAAGGTCGTGCTCAATATAATCAGTGGGTTACCAGTTATTCTATATCCAGCAAGGTTGATGGAATGACATTCCAGTTTTATGTGGAAGAAGGTCAGAAAAAGGTATGGCCAAAACAGTGTTTTTGAAAGTAGAACTAGATTTTTAATGTTTTTTATTTACAAACTTTGTCGCAAACTAGTTCCCTAGATTAAAAATTAAAGTAACTAAATAAACTTCATCCAGTCCTAAGACTTGATCAAACTTCATCCAGTCCTAGAACTTGATCAAACTTCATCCAGTCCTAGGACTTGATCAAACTTCATCCAGTCCTAGAACTTGATCAAACTTCATCCAGTCCTACACTCTAAAAACACTCTGGTTAAATTTGGATTGATTCAACCAGGATGGGGTTAAAAATCCACCTACACAATCTTGGTTGAAAAAATTAAACCATTTTCCTGGTTAAAAGTCCAAAGAAGTATGGCCAGATTTTTGTTGAATCAATAATTTTTAACCAGGAAATCAGTTAATTTAACCAGGAAATTAGTTAATTTAACCATGAATGTGCTAGGTAGTTTATTGATCCAGTTCCTGGTTGAATTTAACCAGAGTGTTTTTAGAGTGTAGAACTTGATCAAACTTCATCCAGTCGTAGGACTTGATCAAACTTCATCCAGTCCTAGAACTTGATCAAACTTCATCCAGTCCTAGAACTTGATCAAACTTCATCCAGTCCTAGAACTTGATCAAACTTCATCCAGTCCTAAGACTTGATCAAACTTCATCCAGTCCTAAGACTTGATCAAACTTCATCCAGTCCTAAGACTTGATCAAACTTCATCCAGTCCTAGGACTTGATCAAACTTCATCCAGTCCTAAGACTTGATTAAACTTCATCCAATTCTAAGACTTGATCAAACTTCATCCAGTCCTAAGACTTGATCAAACTTCATCCAGTCGTAGGACTTGATCAAACTTCATCCAGTCCTAGGACTTGATCAAACTTCATCCAGTCCTAAGACTTGATTAAACTTCATCCAGCCCTGAGACTTGATCAAACTTCATCCAGTCCTAAGACTTGATCAAACTTCATCCAGTCGTAGGACTTGATCAAACTTCATCCAGTCCTAGGACTTGATCGAACTTCATCCAGTCCTAGGACTTGATCGAACTTCATCCAGTCCTAAGACTTGATCAAACTTCATCCAGTCCTAGGACTTGATCAAACTTCATCCAGTCCTAGGACTTGATCAAACTTCATCCAGTCCTAGGACGTATCATACTTCTTTCAGTCCTAGTACTTGATCAAAACTTCATCCAGTCCTCCTAAGATTTTATCAAACTTCATCCAGTCCTAGGACTTGATCAAACTTCATCCAGTCCTAGGACTTGATCGAACTTCATCCAGTCCTAAGACTTGATCAAACTTTATCCAGTCCTGGGACTTGATCAAACTTCATCCAGTCCTAGGACTTGATCAAAACTTCATCCGGTCCTAGGACTTGATCAAAACTTCATCCGGTCCTAGGACTTGATCAAACTTCATCCAGTCCTAGGACTTGATCAAACTTCATCCAGTCCTAGGACGTATCATACTTCTTTCAGTCCTAGTACTTGATCAAAACTTCATCCAGTCTTCCTAAGATTTTATCAAACTTCATCCAGTCCTAGAACTTGATCAAACTTCATCCAGTCCTAAGACTTGATCAAACTTCATCCAGTCCTAGGACTTGATCAAACTTCATCCAGTCCTAAGACTTGATCAAACTTCATCCAGTCCTAGGACTTGATCAAACTTCATCCAGTCCTAGGACGTATCATACTTCTTTCAGTCCTAGTACTTGATTCAAACTTCATCCAGTCCTCCTAAGATTTTATCAAACTTCATCCAGTCCTAGAACTTGATCAAACTTCATCCAGTCCTAAGACTTGATCAAACTTCATCCAGTCCTAGGACTTGATCAAACTTCATCCAGTCCTAAGACTTGATCAAACTTCATCCAGTCCTAGGACGTATCATACTTCTTTCAGTCCTAGGACGTATCATACTTCTTTCAGTCCTAGTACTTGATCAAAACTTCATCCAGTCCTCCTAAGATTTTATCAAACTTCATCCAGTCCTAGAACTTGATCAAACTTTATCCAGTCTTAAGACTTGATCAAACTTCATCCAGTCCTAGGACTTGATCAAAACTTCATCCGGTCCTAGGACTTGATCGAACTTCATCCAGTCCTAGGACTTGATCAAACTTCATCCAGTCCTAGGACTTGATCAAACTCCATTCAGTCCTAAGACTTGATCAAACTTCATCCAGTCCTAGGACTTGATCAAACTTCATCCAGTCCAAGGACTTATCAAACTTCATCCAGTCCTAAGACTTGATCAAACTTCATCCAGTCCTAAGACTTGATCAAACTTCATTCAGTCTAACTACTTGGTTAATTATTACCTCATTAATATTAACAATATTATATTTGGAAATAACCTATATAGATCTTCACTGCAAATAGTGACAGGGATACCATTATTCGTCACAATCTGAGGCCAGCGGTTGTGGCAAGATGGTTCCGTGTTCATCCAGTTACATGTGTCAGTTATTGTGCGATGCGACTGGAATTGATTGGTTGTCAAAATGGACTTTATGGTAAGCGTAATATTGCAGTGATAATTTGCTTATTTACAAATTTTGTCAAATGTGATGAGCTTGTTGCTCCACAAGGATAATTGTTTAAGAACATGCCATCTAGTCGGGACCCAGTGTTCAGAATGTTCCTTTGTCTTTTCATTGTTTTGAAAATCCCACTGTTCTCCATGTCATGATCCAGTAATGTTCCACAAGTCTCTCATTGTTATTTGGAAATTCACAAAGTTTCCCTGTTTGTGTGCAGGTACCAGACCTCCGCAGGCGCTAGGTATGGCCAATGGTCAGATACTTGATGCTCAACTGAGTGCATCATCAAGCGATGCTGATTGGGAACCGAAACATGCGCGATTACAATCCAACGGAAACGGTTGGGCTGCTACGACACCAGCAGGTTCCTGGCTACAGGTAAAGTTACCGACGCAATATTTAGAAAATTTAGTCAATAATAAATGAATCCGTGAATCTTTGAAACTCTTGCCTTTGACTGATATTGTTCTCAGTGAGAATGATATTGACATCGCATGGTCCAAATGGAAGGACACTTTCCTTGCTGCTGTTGATACATATATTCCGAGCAGGCAAACTTCGCGAACCTTCACACCCCCTTATTTTACAAGAGAAATTATCCACATACTTCATCAGAAAGAATCTCTAAGAAAACGAGCAAGAAAGTCTAATTCGGCATTGCTATGGGAAAAATTTCGTGAACTACGAAGGTCAGCTAAACGCATGATCAAAACCAAAAAGCGTGATTATATAAGGAACCTTGCTAATACGATAAAATCTAATCCCAAACAATTTTGGAAATTTTTCAAATCGAAATCAAATAAATCAACATTACCTGATACCATGACCCTAGCTGAATCGACATTTAAATCATCAAGTGATAAAGCGGATGCTTTAAACAAATTCTTTGCCTCTGTGTTTCTTCCTCGTCCTCAAAACCCATGTTTCCCTCCATCCAACACTGTTCCTGTAACTCCAACTGAGTTTTCTGATGTTTCGGTTGAAGAAGTTTGTCGTCTGCTAAATAATCTATCCACATCGAAAGCTACGGGTCCAGACGGGATTTCGGCAAGGTTATTAAAGGAGTGTTCGGAAGTCCTTGCTCCGTCTCTTACTGCATTATTTAATAAATCCATTGCTCTCGGCAAGGTTCCTGCAGATTGGAAGTATGCAAACATCGTTCCCGTTCCCAAAAACAACAAAACTCATATTGTCAGTAATTATCGTCCAATTTCATTATTATCTCTCGTGTCTAAAGCTCTTGAGCATGTGGTCCATAACCGAGTCTTATATATTGTTAAACCTCTTCTTCATGACCAACAACACGGCTTTCGTTCGGGAAAATCTTGTATTACTCAGCTTCTTGACGTTGTTTACAACATTGGCAAGGCGTTAGATTGTGGTAAAGAAATGGACATGATCTATTTAGATTTTTCCAAAGCTTTCGATTCGGTACCTCACGATAAACTTATTTTTAAACTCTCCCAATTTGGTATTACTGGGCCGCTCTTAGACTGGTTTTCTGACTATCTGTCTGCACGTAAACAGCGCGTGGTAGTTGATGGTTTCTCATCAAGTTACCTCGATGTAACATCTGGTGTTCCTCAAGGCAGTATTGTTGGCCCATTGCTTTTCTTAATCTACGTTAACGACCTTCCTGACGCAGCAAAACACAGCAAAGTACCAATGTTTGCCGACGACAGTAAATGCTATAAAATCATAAACAATCCACACGACTCTAATCTCCTCCAATCAGATCTTCAAGCCCTGTGTCTTTGGTCTTCTACGTCGAAGTTAAAGTTCAACTTGAAGAAATGTTCTGGAATACGATTTTCACGGAAACGTTGTATTGAGTCTCCCGATTACTTTTTATGCTCCAGTCAGATCCCTTTTCAATCAACTCAAAAGGATCTTGGTATACTTATTACGAATAACCTAAAATGGTCGCCTCATATTTCTAACATTGTTTCCAAAGCAAACCGCATGCTTGGATTTCTACGACGTAACTGCACATATTTAACTGATACAAACTGTCGACGCTCTCTCTATTTGACACTTGTTCGTACACACCTGTGCTATGGCAGTGAAATTTGGGCACCCCAAACAACATCTAGGGACCTTCTTTGTCTTGAAAGTGTCCAAAGACGAGCAACCAAATATATCCTTCAAGATTTCAACTCATCTTACACCAACCGTTTAAAGAAACTTAACCTACTGCCTATTTCATACTGGTTCGAAATAAAAGATATTACGTTTTTTTATAAATGCAAAGCTGGTTATTATGACTTAACACTTGAAGACTATATTCCGGTCAATTCTACTAATCATCACACTCGCTTTAGCTCTACTGATTCATACCGACCAAACCGTTGCAGAACATCTTCTTTCCGAAACCTATTTTTCAATAGGATAGTGCCACTTTGGAACAGCCTGCCAGGAGAAATAAAATCCTCTCTCTTTATTCAGTTACTGAAACTTAAACTCTATAATCACTACACTCAAAAAGTTAATGCATGTTTTGATGTTAATAGGCCAAGGACTTGGAAAACGTTTTGC